TTCATATTTATTTAAGAATGATAACATTCTCTTTTTTATTATTTTTTCAAAAATTTTTCCTATACTGGAAATTATTGAGATCGGTCGGTTATTAATTACTTCGAGCTTATCTCCTTTTTTATAAATGGGGATTATCATAGATTCTTTTGGAGGATCTGGAAATTTTCCACACTAAAGGATTTATTTATTAGGAAGGTCAATACTGGTGATATTTCATTGTTTGTTTCCTTGAGTATTTCAGAAGTTATATTATCCAAACCAGGTTTTTTATTATTTTTAAGGCTGTTTATCGTTTCTGAGACTTCCTTACTGTTTGTATTTGATAAATATATACTTTTATTATTTTGTTTTATTCTAATGTTTAAGTTCGTCGGTTTAGATATTCTGGTAGCCATTTTTTCCCCATATAGTGTTCACAAAATGTATGTGTTATTAGTTTAAGATCGTCAGTAACCGTCCCTTGTATAGTTTTAATTCGATCAATTTTTACTTTGTTTTCTTTACCATTTGACATTTCTTTAATGCATTTCCAAAGATTTTTGCTTACGTTTTTATTAGTCTCAATTTTTTTATTAAAATATTCACGTTTAGCTGATTTTATTAGAGTATTTAAATGATTTCTATAATTTTAAAGTTGAGTTTATTTTGTTCCATATAATCATTTTTCATTGTTCTATATAGTTTGTTTTTCTCATTAATTGATTTTACAAGTCCAGAAGCGATCCATGATTTAATTTTTATTTCATTTCTTTTTAATTTTATCCGTTTAGTACAACTTTCAATATAAAATTTTAATTTATTTTTGAACAATGAAGTGCTTGTATTAATGTCTTTTGAATTATAGACGTCAACCCAAGTTTCAAATTTAATTTTTTCTTTTAGTTCCGTTTTATTTAAAATTTGTTTAAAATTATCTACAGAATTTTTGTAATATTTGGTTATGAATAAAGTAGGTATTTGCTATAGAAAAGTGATCTGTGATATTGGTTTTAATTATTGCTGGAATATAAATAAATTTTTCTTTGGTTTTTATAAAAATATGATCTAAACATGATTTTTCGTTTCCTACGACCCTTGTGTATTTATCTATGTAACTTATAAATTTTTCCTTGCTTAGTGCATTTAAGTAATCTTGTACATTGTTATTGTCTTTATTTAAAATATCAAAATTTATATCTCCTGTTATAATGTGGAAGTCAACGCTTTTGCTGTTTTTTAAGTATGTCGATAAGTTATCTATGAATATCTTTCATAAGAAGAACAAGGTCTATATATACCATTAATTAACAAACATTTAATGTGGATCTTCACAATTATTTTAATAATATTTATATCAAATTTGACGATATTAAAAACAATATCGTAATTTTCTTACGCAAATAAGACTACGCCATCACAATGGTTAAAGACACCTTCATTATAAAATAATTTGTACCCCGGCAATCTAAATAATGATATATCAGTAAGTTTTCTTGTTTCAGTGAGAATTATAAAGTCAAAACTGTTACTTATCTGGCTTAATTTAATATTTAATTCGTCGAGGTTTTTACTGATACTTCTTATATTCATTTGATAAATTGATATACAATGTTTTTCAGGGTTAGCTTGATATAGTCTAAGAGATTACTTACTACATTTGTGTTAATAAAATTGTAACTAAAATCTCTTAAATAATTATCCATTTAATAATAATAATAATTTCAAGTAAAATCAAATAAAATAATAGTTTAGTACTTACAATAGGATTAAGTGGTTAGTAAATATAATTTTTCTGGGTTAGCAATATTTTTAGTTTTTATTTTTCACTATTTATATAGTCTTGCCGACTGCCTTACCCCAATGTTTTCACCCAAGGTTCTTTTATTCTTCTCAGCTTTCGTGGACGTGTTTGTTGGAAGATGTATGTTCTTGCTAGTAGTTTGACTTATATCGTTATTTTTGTTATTAATAATATCTTCGTATGTAAACGCTTCACTTTCCACGTATAAAGTTTCTTGGTAAATATGTGCCTTTTTATTCTTGGGCTTTTCTATTTTCAGTTGCTTTACCAAAACTTGTTTCACCGTTTTTTCCTCTTTTGTCAATTCTTCTGCTATTACACGGAAAAAAAATGTGACTAGAAAATTTTACTACAATGTTGTAGTAGTAGACTTGTAGAAAAATACTTAAATTTTTGTAGAAAATTTTACTACAATTTATAGTTAAAAACTATTCATTATTGTAGCAATTGAATTGTCGAATAAAATGCTACAACAATAGGAAAGAAGTCCACAATGTTTAGTATATTTTACTATTGTATGTAGAAGTAGAAATTTATTACAATTATATCGTAATTACTACTACTAACTTCTGTAAAAATTTGTACAAATATTAATAATTATCTCTACAAAAAATAGTAATACTTTACATCCCTTCTTATGAAAAAAATTCAATTTTTTACAAAAATATTCTATAATATTGTAGAAATTCTAAGTCATGTGAATAAAACAGAATTCTGCTATTGGCCAACGTTTTCTGACGTCGATCATAAAGGACCAGACAGCAGTAGCCGTTCGCCATGTTCACAAAACAAAGCATGGTATATATACGAGTACTTATAACACATTATTATATTATAAGCACAGATGCGTTTGAGAAAATTTTAATAATAACTTCTATTAGTGGTAAGTACATTTATTATTGTTTCTGAATAATTTACCTTTAGATAACTAATTTAAATAACCTTAGTAGATTATTTAAAAAAAAATAGTTGTGGTCAACGATCCAATGTTGTGCCAAGTTCAATGATGTTTTTTTGTCTTAATTGTGACATACCTACTTTCTCAGTTTTGTTAGTTATCTGACTTAGTTATTTAATATCCAAATCAGTGTAAAGGTGATAAACATCCCCGTTTTAAGGGTATGAACAGATCAATTGGTATTAATTTTTATTTCATATTTTTCAGGTGCAGAAAAGCCAACTGAGACTGAGGGCGCTATTATTACTGTTATTTATTACATAATGTAATTAAGACTTTGTATCTTTTATATTAAAACAATAAATTGAATATTTTATTAAGGAACATTTTTTCTAGGTTATAATAATAATAATTATAAAATACTACTACAAATTTTATTAAAAATTACTACAATTTGTATGAATTTTTACTATTTATTGTGTAAAATTTTCGTATTTATTTTCATAAAACACAATACATTTTTAATATAAATTTATACAATGAATAGCAAACATTAAAACAATTTGTAGAACAATTCTTATGATGCATTTGGATATTTTTACTACATATTGTAGATAATAACTCTACAATACATTCTCTACAATAATTTGGAAATTTTTACTACAAATTGTCCCTGTCCCTATTTGTACTATTTATTGTAGAGAAAAAATGTATAATTGTAGAAATTTGTTCTACAATTTTTTTTCCGTGTTCATATTTTGAGATTATAAGGTTATGTAGTTTTTATTGTAAATTTAATCATTTTTACAATTTGTTAATTTTTCAATACCTTTATTGGCAAAAAACAAGTAAACTAAAATGTGTGTTTTATAAGATCAGTCCAATCACAATACATAATAAAGTAAAGGCAAAAGTCTTAACCACAAAAATTATTTATTGTTATGAAAACTAGGAAAGCGACTAGTTTCGGTCAGTGACCATCATCAGGCCTGTTGCACTTTTTCCAATAGTTATAGGTTGTTAATGTCTGAATTCACTAATTGTAGTCCAAAATAGTCCAAAATAATCAAGTTGTTGCAACGTTCTTTTTTTTCTAATACTTTGTTAATAGTTTTTAATGTCTCTACTTCCTTTTCTAATTTTATAACTTTTTCTGATTCTTTAAATAATATTATTAAATAACTTACTTAAAGACGGATCAAATTGAGAATGGAATAAAATAGGAATTACTCTAAGTTTTAAATTCGTCTTTCTCGGCAGAATGCATAACAAAATCATAATTTAAAAAATGTTTCCGATATATTTTAGTGTTTTTGTTAATTTTATCATAACTTCAACCGTTCCTAATCTAGGTTTTGAATCCAAATTTCCACAGCTTCAAAGTTTGTAGGAAACCTGCCTAAAAAATTACTTCTTAATAATATTTTACATTATACGTGTACCGCCCATGTTTTTTATTTAGGTACTTACCCAAACGACGTGGAACTTCTCCAAATGTATATTTTAGGGCTAACAAACATTGAATAGAAATTTTTAGACTTACAACTAACAAACTTCGCTAAAAACACATAGATATAAAAAAGAATACAAAATGTACAAACAAAACTGACAGTTCCCTAGTGCTTGTTGACAGTTGTGAGAAAATTGTGGCACTGCCATTTAAAATAGACGAATTACATCAGAGACCGAGAAAGAGAAAGTAATAGAAAAAACGGTTCATACTGGCTTCAAACAGACCCAGACCGTTAGTTATCTAGGTATTATTCATTTGTTTATCTGAGGCTTTTTCAGTTTTGATGATAAAATATCTGTAGGTATAGGTAGGTGCCTTAAAATTTTGTTTAATGAATTGTCTTCTAGATCATGATATCTACTTAGCTTTTTACGATTGTGGAATTACAATTTATAATACTTAGCTATAATTACCTACAACTTTTTTTTATATTGTCAAAAATGTTTTCACATCAACCACCCATCGTCCACAATCCTCATAATATAATAACAGGTTAATCCAGAATATTTCAAAAAATCCCAAAAATTAAGAATCGAGGCATACAATAAATAACCATAATCCTGTATCAATATACAAGAGATGAACTATCCCGTATCGTGATTCTCTTGACTTAGCGCCTTATAGTATCCGCCCCCCATCAATAAAACGATCCGCGACACAAAATAACCTGTCGAGCGAACCAGAGCGAGAGCACGACAATCGCACGGCGCACGCTCGTTATTATGTTATCGGGGGCGTGGCCTCAACTGGCGCGAGACGGAAAATGGTGGCGGACGGGCGCTAGAGCGAGACGACGCGAGTCGAACGCATCCGATCGCCGCACATTCTGCTGTAAAGGCTCCTATGATGATATATAGAGTAGACGACTTATAGTTAAACCGCGCTGGGAAGTGGCCCAGATTACTGAGACTTTACAGCATCAAGTCCTAAACCGATATCCTGTGTTCGGACGTTTAAGCACTTAAGACTTTTTAATACTTACAGAGGATTTCGTTGAAAGCACCGTGGAGTTCCGATATACGAGACTGATTTGTAAGATTGTTGTTTAGGTAGACCGTCGCTTTGGTGATTGAAGAAAATATTTTGACGAATCGGACTAGTATACCTAATTAGGTACGGAAAATTGTGCGGTGAACGGACTATTGTGATAGAGACTGTGATTTTGTGTTGTGGACGTTCGTTTTTGGATTTTATGTAAGTACCTACACAATTATATAAAAATTTAGGATATACCTAGAATCTGTTTTATGCTTCTATCTGACATTATTTCATAAGTGAACAAAAACACGGTTTTCCAAGAACATGGAGAAAAGTAATGATTATTCTTCTCTCTAAAAATTAAAACTCATATTCGTAAAAAAATAACTAGGTACGTCCGGTCAACTTTCTTCCCACTATTTTCTAAAATTTTGGAACGAGCCGCTTATTGTTAAAACGGCATAGGTACCTAATACATCCGTGAAGGAAGTTAGCACTACCACATTGGAATATTGGAGAATTTGTCGCTTTTGTGTAGTACCTACCTAAATTTATCATGGAAAAAAGAAAATTTGTCGCTTATCCCTTTTTTAAAATAACCCCCGGTAGTGGTAACTACACGGTACTACCAATCACGAAAATAAGCAAAAATTAACAGATAAATGACGATTTTTTTAAATTGATAATTTGTCGCTTTTTTGTTGTACGAAAAAAATTTGTCATAAAAAAATTGTCGCCCATCCCCTTTTTGAAATAAACCCCATTCGCTAATTTTGATGAAAAGTTAGCACTACGAATCACGAAAATGAGTATAAATCACATTTTTTTATACCTACCTATGGATAATTTATCCCTTTTTTATCGTAAAATTGTTGTGGGTAAATTCTAATGGAAAGTTAGCAGTACCAATCACAAAAATGTGCCTAAATGACTTTTTTTTATATGGATAATTTGTCGCTTATTGTCATAAATTGTAGTAAAATAAAAATTTGTCGCTTATCCCATTTTTGAAATACACTCCAGTTAATTCTAAAATGACCATCTCAAGCAGTGCTCATGGAATAAGAAAGGAATCACTTTTTAGACTAAATATGATTTTTGGAGGAAATTCTTCAAATAAAATTAGTATAGTGCTCACTTCACGGACGTAATTTCAATGCATCAGTCATCAGGTTCCGAAAATATTTTAGCCCTTGCTAATTTATCTGATACAATTACCCCTAGGTACCTAGCATTGGTAATGGAAAAGCTGGTGCTCCTACTATGAACGCGATACCTAAAACATCTCTTAATTTTATAAAAACGTATTTACGTAACTACCTACTAAGTATTTTCTGCTAGTGGATGGTCAAATTATGTCTTTTTCGATCTATATTGAATCTGGTATACCTCAATGGCCTGTCTTGGGCCCACTTTGGTTTTGGATATACAAATTCGATTTATATAAACAAGTTAATAATTGCAATGTACACTTTTTTGCTGGTTACACTTAGCTATTTCGAGAACTTTATTATTATGAATGTGATACTACCGCATGAATCGTAAAAACCATGACTTAAATAAAATAAATGAGTATATTATTTAGGTCACACCTGTATATTAAGGCATCCAAGTCAAAAATAATGGTTTTTTGTCAGAAAATTAAAATTGAATACTTATTTTGTCATGGGTAGTTTTGAGAATATCTGAAAAAAAAAATTATTCCTTATGCAACCGAAGCAAGAAACTTTATAATTTTATTTTGATAAACATGTTAATACCGTGTACCTATTACAAAAATACTATTCGTTAATAGCGAAACTTTGCTAAAGCTTTTTTTTGTCGTATTTAAACTTACTTGTACTATTATCTAGGTACCCGTGTTTAAGTTTATTAAAACATAATCGGCTACAAATTATGCAAAATACCTACTTGCTGTAGATTCATCAGTGACAGTTTGATCAAATCTCTCATGCATTTATTCAAACAGAGGATGGATAAATGTTAATAATCTCTTCAAATATTTATTCCTTTCAATGTGTTACAAAATACTGCATGCTTACCTACCTTCACACCAGCTTAGGTATTTTTGCAACGAATTAAATTTTAGAAGAGCTATGCATAATGTTAATATGTGAAATAACTTTTTTTTTATACCAGAAGCATAAGCATTTCGTATGAGTGACGGCTGCGGTAATTTAAAAAGGGGGTCCACTTTTTCCAATAATTTTATCGTTTGTAAGTTCGGTTCAAAACTTTGTACAAGCGTTAATATGGCTGTTTTTTTATTTGTGTTCATATTAAGTGTAGTTATTATTATCAATATCATATCTACTGTTTGCAACCACTACAACTATTAATTAATATTTTAGTCATATTTGTTGTTTTCATTTATAAACATTATTGGTTATAGTCAGCTGACTTTCCTTCATATTTTGAGATTATTTTTAAATATATATCAGGTTATTTTTGTGTAAAAAATATTATATGAAACATTACCTACCGTTTTTCGATTTTTATTGTAAATTTAATTATTTTCACAATTTGTCACACATATCAAATGAAAATAATAGGTATATTTTTTAAATACATTTTATTGGCAAATAAATCAAATGAACTAAAATGTTTATTTTATAAGATCAATCCCATCACAATACATAACATTACACAGATACAAACTGGAATAAAGATATATAATGCGTGGGGCATTCTAAATTATACTCTTCATAATTTAACAAACCCCCCATAACTCTCATTTTCAATCAGATCTTTTTTAAAATTAATAGCTTCACCCCCTTATTGAGCTTGACTTTTACCAAAAATTTCAAGTTAGTATTATTGTTCGTTTTTGAGTTAGAATTTTTTTAAATATTTCAACTTCCCTTAACCCCCCCCCCCCACTTTTATTCAAATTTTTTTCACAATCAATAGGCATCATCTTATAGACCTTGATTTTTACTAAAAGGCTTTGTCTCCTTATAGATCTTGTTTTCTGCTTAAAATTTTCATGTTGATATCATTTTTCGTCTTTGACTTATCGTGCAGACACAAAACGTGACATCGGACAAAGTAAACCTATAATACTCTTCACAGATTACTGTGAGAAGAGTATAATAATAATATAATCAAAGTTAAAATAATAATATAATAGACTAAAAAATCAAGTCAAAGTTTTGAAAATTATTTAATGGGTAATCAGTGCCTCTAGTTTTTTAGTAGAGCAGACTGAATGTTGTTTGAACACTCTTGTGTTCCATATTTATATATCAATTATATTTCAACAAGAAATGCAGTTAGCCCCAATTATTTCCACAATATGTATCATTTACTAATAATCTAACTAATAAAACTTTTTTGTTAATACACATGACTTGTTAGTTTTGGTAACATAATTCTATGATCTGATAAAAATTTTTCTATGACATGGTGTCATATAGCTCCAACGACATAGTTCAGTTTACCTCCCAAGTACTGATATCGGTAAATATTTAATTAAGTCTTCATTATATAGGTACATACATACCTAACATAGACACAACTATTTAGTTTCTTGAATTAATTTAGCCAAGTGCAATATTTATTTTTTATATCGTCTTTAAAAAAACTGTAATGTAAGTTTAGCTTCCATTTTTTTTGTAAATGCATGTGACACCATCATTCGAGTTAAATCCTCATTGCTACATCAGCCTGACACTGTTATCAGTACCTCTAGCATTTGTAGATAGGACATAAGTATTTCTATAACTTCATGCGCAAATTTATTAGGGACAACCTACAAAATAAAAAAATTATTCATTCAAAATTGTACCAGGGTCAAGAAATTATCCTTTTTTTTTCTTCGCATCAACCCTGTAGGGTCATTAGCGAGAGGCAATTAATTTATTAAAATAAAGAAATTACACATTGTTTACAATATTAATTGCTCTAAGATATGCTAATACATTTTTAAAAGAACATTTGGGACCAAGGGCTTGATCTAATGTAGAAGGAATATTACACTTAATTCGTTCTTGGCTATATTTTGGGCAAATTATTAAGAAATGTTCTACAGTTTGCTTTACATCACAAAGTTCACATTTTGGTTCTGGTTGTTTATTCATTAAATAAGCGTGTGTTAATTTAGACCTATTCTTAACCGAGTTATTATCACTTGTGTTTTTCGGTCTTTGGGTAATTCCTGCCACGAATTCACTTGAGGTTTGACTGATTTCAGCTTAGATGTAGAGGTGTTCCAACGATTTTGCCAGGCACTTTGCACTTTTGGTTTTATTAAACTTTTTGCATCGCTCGTTAAAAGATCAAAAAATTTGGAGAGAGTCTACCGCACTTATTGCCCCGCGCGCATGTTTATCAGCTTCCTCATTTCCAGCAATTCCGATATGTAAAGGAATCCGTATGAAAATAACTTTTTTATTTTTATTTTCCAGTTCTAGTAATTTTTTTTTTCTGTTAATATTGCAACTTTCTGTTTGAACTATTAATTAATGCAGTAGCCTGATAGAGTGCATACAATTCAGCAGCATACACGTTACATTGGGGTGGCAAAATGTATTTTTGAATCACAAGCGGTGATACAACTGCTGCTCCTACTCCGTCATCAGATTTTGAGCCATCTTTGTAAATTTCTGTATAATCTGCGTACCAAGCTAGAATAACTCTTAGATTTGGTAAGATTAGGTCTTTGTTTGTTGTATGTTTATCAAATTTAGCTAAGGTGGTAATTATATTTGGTGGTTTTACTGTCCAAGGTTGAGGAGGTTCAAAAATGAGAGGAAGACAATTAGGTAAGCATATATTAAGGGTTGAAAGATCCGTTTGTACCTGGTTGTAAAAAGGCTTAGGAATTCGTGGTTTCCTATCGTATAAAGTTGAAAATTTGTCACTATTATCGAGACTGTATGAATGGTTGTTAGAGTTTGCATTGCTTTTTACTGCCCTTTTTACTACCCTCAACAAAGTGGATTTCGTTACAACAGAACAACAATGGACAATGTTATAGAATTAGAAAATTATATACATGAAGCTTTTGCGATGCAACAAAAATGTTTAGCCGTATTCTTTGATATCAAGAAAGCATATGACAGTGCATGGAAGGATAGAATAATTCACAATTTACTTTCCCTCAAAATTACAGGACACTGCCTATCATTTATAACAAACTTTTTATCTAACAGGAATGTCAGAGTTAAAGCTAACGGAGTAGTGTCTTCAACAATGAATTTAGAGAATGGAATTCC